GACGAATAAATGATTATTTGAATCATCTACACATGTAATCTCACTTTTACACACCAAAATAACGTTTACACATAAAACACGTTAACACAGAGTTAATGGAGAGTTTTGTCCCAAGAAAAATTCATGACTATCAATAAAAAAAATACATCAATAAACCTATTGTTCATTTTCGCGGTATTCCCCACACATTGCCAGTACAATATTACTGTAATATTTACACTTACCCATGTCCAAATGGATCCTTGTTGTTGTCTTTGTATTCTTCATCTTCAGAAGAGTCGAAGACTTCAGGTTCTGAGGCTCTATCTTCACTGCTGCTAGCGAAAAACATCTCTAGCGAAGTCGGCAACTGTAACGTTTTTTTTAGCCATTTTCTCTTTCTCTCTTTCTCTTCCTCACTGACTCCTTATAATCGAAAATATATTTAATAATTACGTAAATGATGCGCACCTCGATGCGCCGGCGGGTTAACTACAATTTTGAGGGTGTTTGTTTAGGACAATAACACTCTGGACTGTTCTTTAATCCCGTTTGTGGTTTGCATAATCTCAGGCGGACGTCAGCTGGTCAATCAACGGAATCCCCAAAGGCATCATCAAACAGTCCATGGGTCAGGTGCCCATCATGGTGAAGTCCAAGCTGTGCAACCTGCACGGCTTGTCCCCCAAAAAGCTGGTGGAGCACCATGAAGAATCAGAGGTGAGTCCCAACTGTCTCATCGTTTGAGGGATAATAAGGAAAGCAGGCCCATTTTATGAATCAAGTCCCTCATTCACTTTAACAGGAAATGGGAGGCTATTTCATTGTAAATGGAAATGAGAAGGTTATCCGTATGCTGATCATGCCGAGGAGGAACTATCCCATCGCCATGTCTAGACCCAAGTGGAGGAGCAGGGGGCAGGGATACACTCAGTATGGTAAATATCACCTGAGAGATGATGCTCAGTAAAATGAGAAGGGTCATAATAGTGCAGGTTCAACATTACAGCCTCATATTGTTTAAAAATCCCCCCCCCGACAGGTATTTCAATGCGCTGCGTGAAGGAAGAGCATACGGCCGTCAACATGAACCTTCACTATCTGGAAAACGGGACGGTGATGCTGAACTTCATCTACCAGAAAGAGCTCTTCTTCCTCCCACTAGGCTTTGCTCTTAAGGTAATAAAAAAAGGTTAATAAAGGTTTAAGGCTGCACGAAGAATTTAAATGTTTACCAAATCGCAATAAGGACAAGTGCAATATTCACATTTTTGAGAAAATAATATTTGTTAACGGCTAAATATGTAAAAAAAAAAATAGAATTAGATAGAGGTTTCCCTGACTACAAATTGTTCAACAAAACATTTTAGTTTGGCACAGATCCTCTTTAAGAATCACACCATGATCATATTGATTTGCATTTTACATAGTCAACCTACGGTGGCCGACAAGTGCAAACGCACTACAACCAAAGACATTTCCAATTAGGGGAAACCCGTGCAGCTTCCAAAACGATGCAAATAAAAAAACACAAATGTGCCAAAACACATACAAATAAAGAACATCTTCACCAACTTGACAACACATGCGCAGCATTTATAAAAAGTGCTGCAAAAGCAGAAAGCTGCAAATACAAACTCTGCAAGAACCTCACAAACCAACAGATGCTTGTTGGTATTCTGGGATAATTCTGTTGGCCAACTGTCAATGTAAACTTGTCTGAAATGTAAGTTTCTTTGGCTTATTTTAACAATGTGATCGCATGATTCCTTCAGATCTGCAGATGTCAACAGCAGTTGTGCGCTTTTTGCAGCGCTTCAATTATGAAGCGCTTTTCCTAAATGTTGCACATGTGTTGTCAAGTTGGTGAAGGTGTTTCTTTATTTGCATTTTCTTTAATTGCATGTGCTTTCATATTTGCATCATTTCTGAATGTGCAGAGTGAATCTCCCTATTGAAATGTTTTGGGTCTTTGTAGCTCATTTCTAGGCCACCATATAAATCCCTCCTTTCCTGAATCATAATCATATTGTGATATTGGTCCAATTAATCAACATTTCGGTTTTCTTTAAGAAAATCGTTCAGCGCTTAACAAGATACATTTTTCAGGGAAAAGAGAAATGTTAAAGGTCACATGACATGGCCATTTCCACTGATCATAATTCCATTGTTGAGGTATACTTAAATAGATTTATACTGTGCAAACTTTTTTCCAAACTCACATTGGTTTCTCATACAGCATCTCTGTATAGTATGTGTATTCACTCTCTGTCCTAAACGGCTTGTTGGAGCTCCTGCCCCCCTCCCTGTGAGCCCAGTGGC